CATTATACATGATCCATACAAGTTCTATCACATTTGATTCATACATTTACATGTCAAAATGTAGTTTTTTTAACAAAAGTTTTACAAAACTTCATTTCAAAAGCCACAAGCCGGCTCTTCTTCACCCTCGAGGCCCCGAATGAGTGTCATCCACCGGAATGTACCCCACACCTCAAATATTTTCCCGTATAGGGTGAGCTACGCCCAGTAGAGTATTTCCTACAGGGGCTACTCCCCAACCTAAGTGTATATACAATGGTCACATGCAACATTTCACAAACAACAACCATTCCAATCAAGACTAATCAATCTATGTTGGAATCTAACATGTCATGCCTTACTCACATACAACCCGAGGTAGACCCAACTCCTGTCTCACCTCGTTCTCCAAGGTAAGGCTCACAAGACAACTCATTAACTGTCTGTGCCATCGAGAATCATGCACGACTTGGGGTAAAGCGTCATGTTTTTGCCCCTGAAACTTAAAACAAACACCGTCCGGTGTGTAGGCAATTACCCGCTTTCAATCACAATCAATGACAACCCAATGTGCCGTCAACCAATCCATTCCAAGGATCACATCAAACTCCGACATATCCAAGACCCTAAGGTCCACGGTGAGTAAGACCCCCGAGATCTCTAACTCACAATCCCGACATATCTGATCAACTCTTACCCTAGCTCCAAGGGAAGAACTTACATGCAATGGCTCATCCAAAGTTTCAACCTCTAAGCCCAAATGTTTCACATAAGATGCAGCAATAAATGAGTGTGATGCACCAGAATCAAACAATACTCTAGCCCATAAGCGAGATAATAGAAATGTATCATGTATAACCAATTGATCCATCGGCTCAGTCTGTAGCACCATGGCATAAACACGGCCCTGGGTTCCTGAAGTACCAGTTTGTGAGCCCTATCCTTGGCCTCGACCCATGCCCTAGCCTATCTGGCCTACTTGCGGAGTCCCCACACCTGAAATATTAGGACCTTGTGTAGCCCCGTAAAACTGATACTAGCTCCCCTGGGCCATGGTGGCGTAGTGAAGAGCAAAGTGTGTCTATGACTGCTCCACCGACGACTGTGACTGAGATGAGCCATAGCCTTAGAATCCCTGCCTCTGGGGATAATCCCGCTTTATGTGACCAGGCTGGTGGCAGTGGAAACATGTCCTTTGCCTTGCCTGATAGGTAGTCCTGTAATTTTTCCCGCCTTGAGAGGTTCGACCCTGGCCTTGGCCTTGGTGACCATGACCCTACCCTTGTTGTCCCTGAAACCCTTGTGGGGTAGAAGTCCTCTGCCTCTTCCCCGAAATAGAAGAAGAGGATTGACCATCTTTCTTTCTATCGTTTGCACCAGCCTCCCGAATGTTCCTAGCATCATCCACCTCTCAGTCAATGGCCATCACTGTCTCGACTATTGAATTCAAATCTTGTAGGCAGAGGCCCACAATCTTTCCTCGGATGGATAATTTCAGACCAACCTCAAACTTCCTCACCTTGGCCATATCCATAGCCACGTAGTCATCGGCGAAATGGACTAACTCTGTGAACTTAGCCATAAACTCCATAACCGTCATCATCCCTTGTCGTAAGTCTAAGAACTCCCGGGCTTTTGCATGTCTTGCGATAGCCGGGAAATACTTTTCCATGAAAAGTTCCTTGAACTCTCCCCACGTCATGGTCTCTAAGTTCTTTGAGTCCTTCACCTAATCCCACCACACTTGGGCTTCTCTCTCTAGCTGGAATGCAACTAGTCTTATCCTCGTGGCATCAGAGGTGATTTCCATTGCTTCTAATATCTTGCTAACTTGCCAGAACCAATGGTCTACTACCATCAGGTCCGCCCCTCCCTTAAATACCAGAGGCTTATATGTCTTGAACCTCTGGAGGTTATTCGTGCCTCCTTGGCTCACATTTGCACTTGTCTGTGCAACATTAGCAGTTGTAGCACTACCTTGTGCAATCGTAGCAGCCGCCGCACCAATAGCCTCCACAAAGGCTTGTTGGTCAAAGGCCGGTGGTAGTTGGTTGTTGTTCCGCCCACTGCCTCAGTGTCCTTTTCCTCGATTTGCCATTTACACACATGTCAAATAGCAACCGAACACTCACAAAGTATCCCAAGATAGGGAATCAAGTTTAAACTTGGAGATTTTTCTCCTTGTATCTCTAGTAGTGTGCATACCCCATACTAGTAGACTTTTACACCATGAACTACACCGTTCATCCCTTTTTTCGAAACCCAAGGTTATGTTTTCTAACCCTAGTGTTTCCCTTTTTCATATACATTTGACCATGTATATATATTTCACATAGCACATATCACATAACATATAGCACACAACATGTAGCAATTAAACACATACCATGAATGCAATGGTCTAGACCCAATGCCCATCAAGCCCTAGGTAATTCATATACCTATGCTCTGATACCAAGCTGTGACGCCCCACAATCCAGGGTTCCTTTATTAGCCGTTGATCACCCATCAACCCGCGAAAATACCCGTGAATGCTGCATAACCCAATATCACGTCTATCACATCCCTATAACCGGGATTACAACCCACACGAGGATCGGTTTTCTTTCATCATATAATTCCATCAAAGTTCAATATACCCCAATGTATCTCATTTAAGGTCCATTTGTGTCATTGAAACTAAAGAACACATAGCCCAAAAGCATGACAATGCATTCTTAAAATTTCAGACTTTTAGAAAACCTTCTAGAAGGTTCCCTCAATCTTCCGGAAGATCAAGCGTACTGGAACCCTATCTTTAAGAAAAATGTGTCGACCTTTCGGAAGGTGTGTTCAACCTTTCGGAAGAGTCACACACTGGATTCCCTTATTTTAGAAAAATGTGAAGACCTTCCGGAAGGTTAGAATCGACCTTCCGAAAGGTTTCACCCACTGTTCAACAATTTTTCCTTGTATTTGTCCAAACCTTCTGGAAGGTTTGTTTCGACCTTCCAGAAGGTTTTACCCAGAATTGTCTGTTTTACCTATTTTTTATTTCCAATTCATTCCAAATGTTCTCACAAACATCCCAAACATGTAAAATATAGTTTTCTACATTATACATGATCCATACAAGTTCTATCATATTTGATTCATACATTTACATGTCAAAACATAGTTTTTTTAACAAAAGTTTTACAAAACTTCATTTCAAAAGCCACAAGTCAGCTCTTCTTCACCCTTGAAGCCCCGAATGAGTGTCATCCACCGGAATGTACCCCTCACCTGAAATATTTTTCCGTATAGGGTGAGCTACGCCCAGCAGAGTATTTTCTACAAGAGCTACTCCCCAACCTAAGTGCATATGCAATGTTCACATGCAACATTTCACAAACAACAACCGTTATAATCAAGACTAATCAATCGATGTTGGAATCTAACATGTCGTGTCATGATATGAGATGATATTCACTCATGCAACTCAACCTAAGCTCTCACCGACTCCTTTCCCCCCATGCAATGCCTTGAGTATTAAGATCGGGCTCTCCAACCCTCGTCATTGGTTTCACTCATCCAATGACCATTTTAAAATTTTTCAGGTCTTTCTTCGGGTGGGTATTTATGGACTTACACCAAAGGTCACCCAACCAACATAGAATTCATAGACTTCCACCAACGATTTTGTGTACACCGACACACTTTATGAGCTCTTATACCAACGAAAATGCGTATCCAAAATACTAGGTCTCTCACCTGAGGGATAGTCTAGCCCTTCTTGCTACCCCGACCCAATTCATTTCATGCAACCGTGCGACTCAGCCGGATATTCAATCCAACTTTCCTGAGCTCAGCCATCATCCACCTACATGGTGTTTGATGCCAACCATGCCACCACACCCATAAAATGCGATATCTCCATGCATATGCAATGTAACACACCATTGTTATTTCCATATCATGCCCACATGTAATGAATGTCGTATGAGCAACTTTAACATATATTTTCATAATTCATGGCCACTCATATCATATGCATATAATAGGCAAATTTCATCTCAATGTTAATATATCAAAGAGCATATATCAACATGTTCATATCCAACCATAATCCATAAGCATGTTATTTCATATATGTCAATAACACACTTAACTTCCAAAGCATAAATTAAACACATAACATGCCCACATAATACAATTTTTTTCATGAATCACTTTAGGGCAAATTCACATAACCCCAAGGTACCAAATTTCCATGGAATTACAAACGCAATCACCACATATACCAATTCCAAGCTAGGAATTTATTTGTTAAACCTTTTTCATACCCATTTAATCAATTTTCATCAATTCCACATCTATAGGCAAGTGATATATATCTCTATCAACCTACCCATCACATAAAACACTCTAGGTTGTAAAATAAACCCAAATAGAAAGGAACCCTACCTCTTGAAGCATAAGAAACGACCGTAGGAAGTCCTAAGAACCCGATTCAAGCTAGAATCTTCTCCTCCCAAAAATTCCGTCCTTGGAATCTCGCCCAAAACTGACCTCCTTGGTATGGTTTTGTAGCCCACGTCGAGGAGAACAACTTTCCTTCTTGGCCCGAGTGGATCCGGGCACCGTGGAGTTAGATCGTAGAGAGAAGGTGGAGAACTTTCTCTATTTCCCTCTCTTCTTTATCGGCTAACAACTGGACAAGAGAATGGGGGAAAAATCTGATTTTTTCCTCTATTTATACTTCTTAATACTTGGCCCACAAACGTAAAAAATTCGACTGTCTCGGAATTCGATGAAATTTGACCGGGTGACTAAATTTTGTGAGGCAAATCCAACAGTAAGGTTCATTTCGTCATCCGAAATTTAAAAAAATTCAAGTTTTCAACTCGTACTATAGCAACAAATTACCGTTTTGCCCTTTTTGTAAAAAGTTTAAATTTATCGAGTTTTACAATTCTTTAGGTTAATAAGTGGGTCTGTTTGATAACAGTGATGTTTCCAAAATTCATACATGCCACAGATTTAGGTTCTTTCAAGTTAAGTCATTCAAGACACTCAGATTCTTCTACCCAAAGATTTGATTCAAGAAATTTCAAATCGTCATCCTTAATCTGATTTAGGTGAATGTGTAATGGTCCAACTGCATAAATTGGAGGAAGAATGGACAAAAGTGTGTCAATAATATCATGCTCCAATTCCTCGAATTTATTCAAAACAATCACAGAAGCCTTTTTAGCTCGCTCAGCTTCATCCATGACAAACTTCAACAAAAAGTCATTTGGGTCTGTATTTCTCAATAGAGTTGGCATGTACTTCAAAAAAATACCTTTCATGCTAGGTATCCAATCTATGATTGTATCCAAATATCCACTTGTTATGTCACTAGCATCTGCACTACATAAAAATTACAAAATACTTTGTTAAAATAAAAACTTGTGTAACTAAAAGCCTTGAAGAGTAATTAATTTGCTTTTGATACAAAATCTCTCTCTCTTTCTCTCTATTGTACCTCTGGTGCTTGAATTTTTGTTGTTCTTGAACCTATGTCTCAGCAGACAGAAATTAGAAGGTTGAATCATTGGTTTAAGCCTAGAAGAAGCATTTTAACCTGATTTTTCTGTTATCGTTCCTTTTTGGCCTTTTCTCTTTTTGTCTCTCTCTCTCTCGTGTCTACTAGGGTTGAGTCTAATAAGATTGAGGTCTAAAGTATATTTTACAACCACTATGCACACAAATGAAATTCCAATTATTATTCAGCTATAGTATGTTGATTTAATTGTAGTGGAGGTTGATGAATTTACATAGTTATGCCATGTATAATTTATAATGCCACTAAAACTTACGATTTTTATTCACGTTGATCGCAATTCATAATGAACTAATATTATGACTTCACACGACTAAATGCTCATGTATGGTTGTTTTATTCTTTAATTTCAAGTTGTACAGAACAAGTACCATTGGGTAGACAAGTTTATTGGGATGATTTAATCAAATTAAAATTGGTATGTTGAGATTCTATTCAACTTTTTTTTTTATTTTTTTTTTTTGGGAGGGGGAAGGGTGGAGGGGGACTTGAACCCTTGATCTCAAAAAGGCAAAGCCTTTACAAGACAAAGAGTACTATTGGACCAAAGATTCTATTCAACTAGGTATATTTTGTTTGTAGTTATGAAACATTAAACAAAGATAACTTATCAATCACATTTTTTTTTTAATGGGTTATGAAGCACATTTCTCTCCAATCATTTTCATCCATTAAATTATGTCATCATTGCATTGATTAAAGGCTTCTAGGAAGAACTTTTTGATAGATATCCCACTTTGGTATTGTATGACAAAGTACGGGACTCAGAATTTCTATACTTTGTGAAGAATTATTATAATTAGCTCAATTAATTGCAATGTAAGCAAGGTTATTCTTTAATTGTTATTTTTTTCAAAGTCTATATTTTTAAATACGATTATTTAAAAACTCTTATCGTTTTCTTTCAAAAAAAAAATTGATCAGATAATAACTTCATCATATATATACATAATTTACATAAATTGAATTGTATATGAGAATATCCAAATTTGTTATGTTGTGTTTGGACAGTTAGTCAAAAATATTAATTTATTTCTAACTAATTGAATTTACATAATAGGTTCTGTAGGTTGGATACCTAAATTCAAAACATTACAAAACAGTAAGAGATTAATGCATATATTAAGTTGAAAAAACAAAAAAAAAAAAACCTTTCCATCCAATCTAATTGAAAACCAAGGTCAAGGGTACTTTGTCATTTCTAAACCTAATATCAAATAGAATCGATTTTATATCACTTCACTTGAGTTTGGGTTGCATTATTTATGTTATATCACTATTATCGCGGGCCTATATTCACTAGTATTAAATGAATAAACTCTATAACATGATTGAAACATGGTATTAAATGACTACAAAAGTAATTTAGTCTATTATTATTTTCTACTACCCAAATTCTTCAGGCCCTCAATCTAAAAGAAAACCAGTTATTGGATAATATCAGCTATACAATACAAACATCACAAAGTTGCATAGGTGACTTGTGTGATCCAAAGGGTCTATCCATAATTTACCTAAATCAGTCGAAAAAATAAACATAGAAACAATTAAATTCAATTTAGATCAACTTTTTTTGTGAAAGGTATGTGAGAACAATGAACTTGTTTCTTTCCAACAGGCAAAAGAATTGCAATTATCGAGTATGATCAATCACCTTTTATGTATTTTGCTTGTATTAACATCTCTTTCCATAAAACATAATCCTAATTCCCACACCTTAGCCAATTTCCTAAGTCCCATGGCTGTTTTGGAAATTAAAACCCGCAGTTCGTGCTCTTCTCACATTATCCTTGAAACTATTTTCTTCTATGATTAGCGTCAATGGAAATCCACCATTCTCTTCCGTGAACCAACTTTATTGGATAATGTTGAGTACGCATTTGAAGGCTCTATTGAATACAAACTGTCACATTCTTTAGATTATTTGATTGCTGGAACTTATTTTACTTTAAATCGTTATCAGCTACTGCATTTGAACTTATTAATGAATGCATAATCAAATCCAAATATTATGGCCATAACAGGTATCATACCTAAGTATCATCTTAGTTCGAGAAACAAATTTCTTCATTTCAATAACAAAACTTGAAGACAGAACACACACACAGAGTAACCAAATCAAAGCACCCTGGCCATAACAACCATCATACCAAATTATAATCTTTATTCCATGAAGTTTATGGTAACAATACTTGAAAGGAGAGCACATAGAAAGAAGTGAGAAAAAGAGGAGGAGAAAGAGGAATCACAAGGGTTTTAAAGAGAGCCTGTCAAGTAGCAAGAATTTGGAAGGTTGAAGTTATATATGTAACTAATGTGGTAGATGGAATACAAATGTCCAAAACTTAAAGTGAGTATCGATGGAAGGCATTACTGAACTTAAATAATTTATTGTAATTGTTGGACCAAGAATAAATTTGATTTGAAAGTATAAATTAAGGACAAAATAAAAAAATGAAAGTTTTTCACCACAATTGACTTTTATAGGTAGTAATTTTTTTTTCCTAATTGCATAGTGCGTTCGAACATGAGAAATTATTAGTATTCAATAAGTTATGTCGATTTTTGGTCAGATTGACGAGTAATGTTTGAAATTGTTAAACCTAAATAAGATACAGGTAGAGAGGTCTTTCACATGTCATTATCTCATCCTCCTTAATCATGGCAAGTGGCCCTAGAATCACACTGAACACATGTAGTGTTGGCTTGTGTGGCTTCGAAAAATACATTAATTTTAGGGAAAGCAAATTACAAGAAACAAAACTTTATACATGACTCAACTTAAATTACCAAGGATTACAAAAGACGATTTTGCCTAGGGGTCTTCGGTTCAATGGTAATCTTTACTTTGTGAAAGTTTTGTCCTCTTGCAGTCAAGGGTTTAAGCTCATTTTTCCCCTCCCCCTACCCCTCCCCCTCCCCCTCCCCCTCCCCCAAAAAAAAAATAAAAAATAAAAACAAAAGACGACCTTGATAACCCATGGTTGTATGACTTTGCTTTTTAGTATTAGTTGGAACTAAAAACAATTCTTTATTAGATTCAATTTGTGAAAGTACTATTGTTACTTTTTTAAGGAATCTTTTAATAACATTTTACTTTTTTTTTTTGCATTTTAGTTTTCTATTCATACACCCTTCTTTTAAATAAAAAATAAAATTTTATTTTTTATTTTTGAAATCATAGGAAAAGTACAGGTTTACGTGGTTTGGAATACAAGAAAGTGAGAACTGTCAAAATAATAATAATAATAATAATCTCCCGCCTTCCCTTTCTCCTTTTTTTCCTTTTTTCTCTTCTTCCTTCTTTTGTTATCTTCTCCCCCCCCCCCCTTCCTATTTTTTTTGGGTACACTGTACACTCTCCCTTACGTTTCTGTGCAAGTTGTAGGTCTAAAAAGGATCTCTCTCTCACTCAAGCGCACACACGCAATGAAATAACTGTAACACTAACCCCTAACATCTAACCTCCTACCCCTAACCCATGACAAATACACTTCACTCACATGCACACAACACAAACCACTCGCGCAGAAAACACACACTTATAGAGGCGGCAAGAGCCGTCAAAGGTACTCTCTCTTTCACACAAACACACACGCAGTCCACGGATGCATACTGCTCTCTCTCTCACTCTGACTCTCACTCTCACACACACACTGCGCATTCACTATCCAGTACTCTCTCTCACTTCTCCCCTTGTCTAGTTCTCCTCCCTCTCTCCCTCACTCGCTCTCACACACTCTCTTTCACACACACACACACACTGCTGGCTTTAGATTAGGCTTGAACCTTAATTAATTAAAATAAACAAACAAGAGGCAAAAAGGGAATACATGGAAAGTTCTGGAACTAGATTTTTTTCATTCCATCTCTCGTAGAAAAGTCTCCTACAAGCTTTATATAGACACTCCATATATTCTAGAAAAGTATCTAACAAGTTTTATCTAGACACACCTAAATATAGACACTCCATATATTCTATAAAAGACTCTTACAAGCTTTTATCTAGACACACCCAAATAATACTAGAATTTTCTATCTTTGGGCCTAATTAAATACAACAAAACATGACACTAACATTTTATAACCCAATTACAAATATAACATTTTTTGCCCAAATACAAAATAACGCGACAAAGTATTAACTTTAGCACTCCCCCTTAATGATTTGTTGTATGACACCCAACGTTTTCCGAAAGTATTGAAACTTATCCTTCGAAAGTGCTTTGGTGAAGATGTCCGCCACTTGATCCTCCGTCTTGTAATACTTGAGTTGAATCTCATCATTCTCCACGGCCTCCCGGATAAAGTGGTGCTTGATTGCAATGTGCTTGGTTCGGCTATGGTAGATGGGATTCTTTGTCATTGCTATTACGGACTTGTTATCACACAAAATTGGAGTAGGTTATCCTTGCTTCTCACCAACATCTTCCAAGATTCTCCTTAGCCATATTGCTTGTGATGTCGCCAATGATACCGAAACATATTCGGCATCGACGGATGATTATGCTACCGTTTGCTGATTCTTAGATGTTCATGAAAAAACACCTGAGCCAAGAGAAAATGCATAACTGGAAGTGCTCTTCATATCATCCACACACCTAGCCCAATCACTATCACAAAATCCAATCAACTTTGCATCCACATTTTTCTTAAACAAAACCCTATAATCAAGGGTACCTTGGATGTATCTCAAAAAAAATTTTGCCACCCCAAAATGAGTTTGGTTTGGACTATGCATAAACCGATAAAATAAATTTGTAGCAAACATAATGTCTGGCCTTGTAGCCGTCAAATATAACAAACTTCCAACCAAACTTCTATAAGGAGAAGCATCAACATTTTTACTTCCATCTTCTTTTGTCAACTTTTCATTTACCACCAAAGATGTAGCAACCGACTTATAATTCACCATTTTAAACTTTTCAAGGATACTTTTTGCATACTTCATTTGGGAAATAAAAACACCTTCATTTTGAAAAAATTCAAACCCCAAGAAGTAATGCAACAAACCCAAATCACTCATCTCATATTTTTTCATCATGTCTCTTTTAAATTCTTCAAGCTTCTTTTCATCATTTCCGGTAAAAAAAAAGATCATCAACATAAAGAGAAACAATAAGAATACCGGTGTTACCTTGTTTTTTGACGTACGATGTTGGCTCGCTTTTGCTCCTTTCAAAGTCTTTATTGTTGAAGTAGGAATTAATCTCGTTATACCATGCTCGGGGTGCTTGTTTCAACCCATATAATGTCTTCTTCAACTTGTAAAATTTATCTTCTTTCCTTCGACAACAAAGACTTGAGATTGATCCACATACACCTCTTCCTCCAAGTCTCCATTTAAGAATGCGAACTTCACATCTTCACATCGAGTTGGTACAAGAACCATCTATTTTGAGCCGTCAAAGCAATACGTGCTCTAATTGTGTCAAGTCAAGCCACCAATGCAAATGCTTCTTGATAATCAATACCCGGTTGTTGAGAATACCCCTTTTCAACAAGCCTTACTTTGTTCTTTTGAATTGACCCATCTGGATTAAGCTTTGTTCTGTAAATCCACTTCAAACCAATCATTTCTTTTTCTTTGGGTCTTTCCACCAACTCCCATGTCTTGTTCTTTTCAATCACCCGAATCTCCTTTTTCATTGCTTTCTTCCAAACTTCTAGTTTAATTACCTCTTCAAAGTTGTTCGGTTCAACTACACAAAAGTTGCATCTTGCATACATATCACTAAGACTTCTCATTTTTCTTGGAGTTGAACTTGGAGATGAAAAACTTGAGCTTGATGGAGTTGATTGTGGACTAGCAATCAGAGACATTTGATTTGGAACATCAAGATCTTCATCCTCACTTTCTTCACTCTCCCACCTCTTCATACATAGGAGAAAAATAATTTTACACCTTCTTTTCTTTCCAATCCCAAGAGGCTTTTTCATCAAAGATGATGTCTCTTGAAATGATCAATTTATCTTTCTTCAAATTGTAGAGCCTATAGCCTTTTGATTGAGTGCTATAGCCCACAAGATACATTTTTCACTACCTTCATCAAGTTTATGCCTCTTTTCTTTGGGAACCTGTACATAACAAATACACTCAATCACTTTCAAGTGATTAACCGAGGACTTTCTTTTACTCCAAGCTTCAAATGGAGTTTTGTTTGAAAGGGCTTTTGTTGGACATCTATTCAACAAGTAAACCACTATGTTAACGGCCTCGCCTCAAAAAGTTTTGGACAAACCTTTTTCATGAAGCATTGACTTAAACATTTCTTCAATTTTTCTATTTTTTTTATCCGCCACTCCATTTTGTTATGGAGTGTACCCAATGATCAAATGTCTTTCTATCCCAATATCTTCACAAAATTTCATAAATTTATTAGAGTTATACTTATTACCTCTATTATTTCTT